TATCTATGATAATAGATTTATTTATTCATTATTTATTATCTACTTTTAGTACACAAAACAAACTGTTGATAACACAATACACTAATGTTTCAAATAAGCAGAAATCATTATGCTTATAAATAGTTAAAATATCTCAATACAATTTATTAATGGCTAAAATAAAATCAACACTTCACATGATAAGTTTCCTAATATGTATTTTAGTGATTTTTAACAAAATAAGGAGCTCTGGTGGCACACTGGTTAAGCATTCAGCTGCTAACCGAAAAGTTAGTGGTTTGAAGCCATCAGGCGTTCCACGGGAGAAAGATGTGGCAGTCTGCTTTCCTGAAGATTATAGCCTTGGAAACCCTATGCAACAGTTCTGCTCTATCTATAGGGTTGCTATGAGTCAGAAGTGACTTGGTGAAAATAGGATGGATTTTAATTAAATAAGTGTATGTACCATTTCTGAATCTATTTATACAATTGAACTTGAAGTTAGATATGCAAATTAGGCTTAAAAATCACTCTCTAAAATATTCTCAGAAGTACATGCTGATTTTTTACCTGTATTTAAGCAGGTACAAAGTGTATACAGATGGTGTAAAGCAAAAGCAGTATCACAGAGTCATCTAGATGTTTATTATTTATCCTAATAAAAAGTAGTTTGCAATGGTTTTATTTATAAAATGTTCCCTCTCTCCAAGCAGAACATTCAAGGACAGTGCTGTAAAATACTATTATGGCAGTAGATTAAGTTTATATTTAGTCTTTCAATCATCAGTTTGGAATTCCGTTAACAGAATAACACAGATGGCAGGAGGACAAAGTATGAGTAAGAACTACTAACTCAGTTTTCCATATGATTTTGTTCAAAGTCTCTAAGGCTTTTTCTGATTAATTTTAGATTCTTCTCTGCATGTTTTCTAGTCTATGAAAACTGCCTCTTCAAAATATCCATAACCTTTAACTTTTTCACCAAATACCTAACCACATGTTTTCTGTCAATACTTTTTTTTTTTAGTAATTAACAAAAATATCTGAATTAAATCATATTCTCATGCTACCCTCACAAGACAGTTTTACTTATTTTAGGACAACAGTAAAATTTCGATTTTTAAAAATAATGCTAATAATCTCAAAGGCATTCTTTGAAACAAATGAAAACTTACATGAAAAAGTTAACAGCATAATTAAGTCAAAATTTAATAAAATTGTACCTTAGAATCCATGGCTGAGGAATAAAAAAAACTGTCTGGTAAAATAAGGGTTAACTTATTGACATAAGTTTCTTCTCTCTTTAGGAACTCCTATAATTGTTTTACTTTAAAATTCATTTTTAGAAATACAAGATTTAATTAGTCATATATTTTCAATCTAATAATTATATTAACTGCCCAATGCCAATGTCTTCAGAAAATAAATGGTCAAATTTAACAGAACAGAAAGAAAATTTATAGGGAGAAAAATCTTTTCAAAGGTATCCTTAGAAAAGGATCAGTGAGTTTATTTTTTTGAGACACCATGTTTTTGAGAGGTTAATTAGATGCTTAAAAATTAGAAATGCAAGCTCTGAAAAAACTAGGCACTTGACTTTCTAAGAAGAAAATAGTTAATTGTATAAAATATAGTATGAATATAAAGATGAAAAATTCGAATTACCTAGTACAAAAATACAGACAAAAACTTTTAAGTTTTTTTTTTAAAGGCAGGTTCTCTTTGATTTTTAATACCGACTGGGTTGTTTCAGGCAGCTAATTAAAAGGCTTTCCCCCAAAACTACAGGACTATATGTTTTAAATGTTTTTGGGTTTTTTTTTAACCCTTTTTTGAATATTCTGCATTTTTTCTGAATCAAGTAACCCCAAAATTTACATTTTAGCTGAGGATACATGGTTTCAACTCAGACCAATATGGGCTAGGACTTTCAGAGCACTTAAGTTCCTCTGTTTTTAGAGGTATAAAAGGCAATCCACTAAGAGACTTACTACTTTGTAGTGAAAGTATGTAGTGGTGTTGGCACATTTTATTTTAGTGTTCACAAAAAGCACCTAACATGCAGACTCCTGGGCTCACCATAAAGGTCTGTATTCAATTAATCTGGAGTAGGAACCCTGGAAGCTGTTGCCTATGATCTATTCAGTACATGTTAAGAAATATCCACAGTAGTTCTCAAAATGTGATCCTCAGAGCAGCAACAGCATCATCTATGAATTGATTAGAAATGAAAATTCACAAGCTCCAACTAGATCTACTGAATCAGAAACTCTAGGGGCAGGGCCTAGAAAACTGTTTCAACAAGCTCTCCAGGTGATTCTTCTATCATTGTAATATCACTTTTAATGATATTTCCTTGGCTTTTGACTTTCTAAGAAGAAAATGGGTAAAATGTGAAGCAGTAATGAATGCAGGACAGATCCCAGGTTACTAAGGCACTTGGCTGCTAACCAGACAGTTGGCAGTTCAAACCTACCAGCCACTCCTCAGAAGGAAGATGGGGCAATCTACTTCTGTAGTGATACTGCCTCAGAAACCCAAGGAGGGGTTGCTATGAGTTGGGTCCAACTCGACGGCACATAACAACAACTAATAGAATTAGCATCTTCTTACCACTTGGGGGTGAGTGGCTGTTTCCTGACATAATATAATGTCAATTTTTAGCAGTAAAAAACAGGCCTGTACTGTATGTTGTTATGTGCCATCAAGTTTATTCTGACTCTTAGCAGCACTATATGACATAGTAGAAGTGCTCCAAAGATTGTCTAGGGGGTAATCTTCATGGGAGCAGATTGCCAGGTCTTTTCTCCAGTGGAACAGCTAGTGAGTGGGTATGAACCACCAACCTTTCTGTTAACAGTCCAGTGCTTAACCACTGCATCACCAGGCCTCCTTTTCTATACCTTAACATCTTGAAATTTCTTCTTAAGACATAGATTACGTACCTTTTGCTGAAGTTGAATTTACCTAAGTTAAATTTGCTTATAATGTGACTTCGATAATACACATTCTATTTTTTTTTTTTAATTTTTGCTGGCATTCAACCAGAAAAAGCAATCTGTATCTCTGCTTCACTTACACAAATACCAATAAAGTGACAGTTACTCAAATTTAAAAAATTTTCTTCTCTAACGTCTATTCCTATTGCTTTCCCCTGTAACTGCTTTCTTTATGTCCTTAAATAACATTATATATTTATGTAGCATGTTGTTAGGTATCGTTAAGTCATATTTGACTCACAGCGACCCTATGCACAGCACGATGAAACACCGCCCAGTCCTGCATCAGCTTCATGATCCTTGCTATACTTTAGCCCATCCCTGCTGCCACTGTGTCAATCCATCTCGTTGAGGGCCTTCCCCTCTTTCGTTGACCTTCCACCTTACCAAGCATGACATCCTTCTCCAGGAAATGGTCCCTTCTGACAATATGACCAAAGTTGGTGAGATAAAGCCTGGCCAATCTTGCTTCCAAGGAGCATTTTAGCTGCACTTCCTCCAGGACAGATTGGTTCATTCCTTCAGCAGTCCATAGTACTTTCAGCATTCTTTGCCAACACCACAACTCAAAAGCATCAATTCTTCTTCAGTCTTCTTTATTCATTGTCAAGCTCTCACATGCATATGAGGTGACTGAAAATACCATGGCTTGGGTTAAGCACACCTTAGTTCTTAAGGAGACATCTTTGCTCTTCAGCACTTGAGAGAGGTCCTTTGCAGCCAAACTGCCCAGTGCTAACATCGTGTGATGTCCTGATCACTGCTTCCATTGGCGTCAATTGTAGAAACAAGCAACATGAAGTCTTTGACAACTTCTGTCTTTTCTCCATTTATCATGATGCTGCTCATTTGTCCAGTTGTGAGGATTTTTGTTTTCTTTATATTGAGATGTAATCCATATTGCAGACTGTATTCCTCGATCTTCATCAGTAAGTGCTTCAAGTCATCCTCACTTTCAGCAAGCAGAGTTGTGTCGTCAGCATTTCACAGGTTGTTAATGATTCTTCCTCCAATCCTGATCCCACATTCTTCTTCATATAGTTCAGCTTCTTGGATTATTTACTCAGCATATAGACTGAATAAGTATGGTGAAAGGACACAACCCTGACACACTCCCTTCTTGATTTTAAACCATGCAGTATCCCCTTGTTCTGTTCGAATGACAGTCTCCTGGTCCATGTACAGGTTCCTCATTAGTACAGTTAAGTGTTCTGGAATTTCCATTCTTCTCAATGTTATCTGTAATTTGTTATGATCCACACAATCAAATGCTTTTGCAATTTCTTTGGGGCAATACGCAACGTGCACTGATATGAAATAACTTTATTTATCCCACTTAGTATGAATACGTGCTGAGAAAATATTACTGTGTTTGACTACATAGTGCTGCCTTAGGCTCTACAGAAATATTGTAATAGGTGGTATGTGCACTACTTACTTATTTCTCAAAGATGTATAAAATCTGAATTTTGAAACACCACTGGCTCTAAGTGCTTTTGATAATGGATTATGGATCTGATTACTTTTAAACAAAGAAAAAGATTCCTATCCTTTTTTCCCTCATTTACCATCAAAAGCAACTCACATCCCTCTATCTCTACTTGTGCGTTTAAACTCTAAAAACACTTATTTAAATAAAAACCTTACTTTCACAAAAATCTATTTTGATAAAAAGATATTTTCTTAAGATACTGGAAAAAATTACAAAAAAAAAAAAAAACTTCGAAAAATTGAACAAAATGTTATGATTTGCTGTACTGATAATGTAACCTTCTCATTCATAATATTTATTTATACCATACCTTATTCTACAGTAGAATTAAAGTGGAAGCCTTTTAAATTTTAACATATTAATGACAGTGCAAACTGAGGTAACTTCTATACTAAGAATATTAAAATAAAAAGAAGGCATATATTTTTGCAGAATGATACAATTAGCTTCTTCTATCATTCTAGAGTTCAATATTGGACATCAAAGGTCTCAAAATCATGCAACAAGCTATAAAAAGTGGGAGCACTTACTTAGGAGTAGAAGGACCCCTTGGCCATGTTCCATCTTCATTTTTCTGTTCTATCACTAACACCTGCAAATATGACACAATAATAAAAGAGTGTTTTTCTATAATTCTCGAATTAAAACAGCTTTAGCAGATTAGATGAATACACTACGTAACTGATTATTTAAAGGACACAATAGACAAGTGAAGAGGTATTTGCATTTTCATTCCAAAGATGGGCAAGGAAGACAAAAAGATCTCAAGCAGAAGTCAGTAATGAAAGTTAAGAAGGAAAAGGTAAACTGTGAAGAAAATAATTTTGTTCTCTAAGTATGAAACTGCAATCCAAGTAAATAGAATATAAATTTCTTGAGTTGAGGGAGTACATTTTTTCTCTTTGTATTTGTAGCTTGTAACACAGTACCATGCAAATAAGAGATGCTCAGTAAGTAACTGTAGTTTTTGTTAAATTTACTGATATATGATCTTAGTAACTGTAATGCTAATACAGACAAAACTCCAAATTACAGATAATATATAATTTATTTGAGGTTTTGAAATCTGTATTTATATTATCACTATGTAAATTACCAAACCAAACCCACTGCCATAGAGTCATATTCGACCCATAGCGACCCCTCCTTGGGTTTCCGAGGCAGTTATCACTACCAAAGTAGATTGCCCAACCTTCCTTTGGAGGAGTGGCTGGTGGGTTTGAACTGCTAGCCTTCTGGTTAGCAGTTAAGTGCCTTAGGCACTAGGCTACCAGAGCTCCCTTTACATATGCTTAGTGATATATTTTTGTGGACTCTATGTTTCAGACTAGGTAGCAGCAGTGTGTTAATTGAATGATTCACCCAGGAACCACTCAATCAACACTGGATTTTGTAAGTGTGAATTTAAGAATATGATGGTTAAAATAAGTCTGGAAAGCACTGTTTATACAGTGTAGTATAATATCTGGCATATACTAAGTATTGGATAAACATTAATTTTTCTAGGTTACCCTAAATCTTTTCATAACTCATTATAATCATGTTGATGTCAATAGTAGTTTTTAATACAACGAATAAAATAAAGCAAAAACTTTTATATACTGGAGCACCAGGCATTGTGCTTGGTATTATAAATAAATAAATACAAAATAAGTAAAAGATACAGTTCAACTAAAATATGGACCTCATAGTGTAGTTGGGGAGCTCAATATATAAAAAAACTAAAGAATACAATTAATTATGCAGAATATAAATAAATCCTTACGAAATTATTATCAAAGTTAAGGAAGCAACTGTCCCCAAATAGAAAACTCTTGTACTTCAATGGACATCAAAGAAAATAGACCAGGAAAGGCTAAAGAGATGATGTGACATCTGAGTTGGAATTAGAAGGATGAATGATCTGATCTGGCTAGATGATGGGATAGTTAATTTGAATATTTTGATAGTTAAAAAGAGCTTTTTTTTTTTTTAAAAAATTTTAGTATAGTGCTTCCTTAGAAATTTAGAAATAGAAATACCATTTGATCTAGCAATCTTACTACTAGGAATATATCTTGAAGAGGTAGATACAGGACCTTAATAGATATATATGCATACCCATGCATCAAAGTACTATTTACAATAGCAAAGAAATGGAAACAACCTAAGTGCCCATCAACAGATGAATGGATAACCAAACTATGGTACATACACACAATGGAATACTATGTAACACTGAAGAATAATGAAGAGTTGACGAATCATCTCACAATGTGAATGAACTTGGAAGACATTATGCTGAGTGAAATAAGTCATTCACAGAAGGACAGATACTGTATTAATCCATTATTGTATAAAGTCAAGGAAAGGTTTACCCGAGGAAGGAAATTTTCTTTGTTGGTTATCTGGGATGGGAAGGAAAGCAGATAATTAAAGAGACAGGTGTTGACATGGGTAAAGGGAAAGGCAATATAACAAAAGCATGTGAGTAGCACAATATCACTAAGAGTGGCAAAAAAAAAGAGAATGGCTTTTTGTTGGATGGATACAGAAACTGGGAAAAGAGTACATTAGGAAAATGAACAATATATGCAAAAGCACAGAAACAGTATGGAATAACATAGTGGGTTTAGGAACCATAACAGTACTGTTAGAGTATAAATGTGTAAGTCATAAGGCAAAGATAATCGAAGGATGCTGGAAGAGTAGTAGGTAGAATTCAAACCATGACTTACTTACATCTATGATAAGATGCCTACATTTTAGTTTATAATCATTAAGGAGCCAGGAAAGGTTTATAGAAGGGAAATAATAAGGTTTACAATTTAGAAAGAATACTGTGGCAGAAATACATTAAGACTGAACATGCAAAAGACCGGAAGCAGAGAGATCTGTTAAAAGACTACTGAAAGAGAAGACTGGGAATAGAACAGAGAAATCAATTCAACAGATATTTAGAAGGTAAAATCAGTACAACTTGCTGATTTGTGTTCTGAACCTCTCCAATCATTTCTTTGGATTATACCACATACGTTTTAATAGGGGTTGGCAAACGATGGTCGATTATCCCCATTGCCTGTTTTTGTAAATAAAGTCTTACCGTAATAAAGCCATCCCATTTGTTTATGTATGGTCTATAGCTGCTCTCATGCTACTACAATGGCAGAGCTGTAGCTGCTAAAAGACTATAGGGCCTAAAAGCCCAAAATATTTACAATTCAGTACTTTGCAGAAAAAGTTTCTTAACCTATCTTAAAATATTAACAGATTTTTGGTTAAAATAATTTATTTTTAACAAGTAGATTATTCCCAAGCCAAATGAAAGAAAAACAAGCTAAAGCTAGGCAATGAATAAGAAAGACTAAAGAATACTTGATGCCTTTGTATTGTGGTGTTGATGAAGAATACTGAAACTACCATGGGTTGCCAGGAAGAACAATCAAATCTCTCCTGGATGAAGTGCAGTTGGAATGCTCCTTGGAAGTGAGAATGGCCAGACTTCAGCTCACCTACTTTGGTCATGCTGTCAGAAGGGACCATTCCCTGGAGAAGGATATCATGGTTGGTAAAGTAGAGGATCAGCACAAAAGGAGAAAACCTTCAACAAGATGCACTGACACAGTGGCTACAATGATGGGCTCAGGTACCGTAAGGATTGTGAGGATGGCACAGGACCAGGCAGTTTTGTTCTGTTGTACCTAGGGTTGCTATGAATTGGAGCGAACTCCCCAATACCTAACAATAACACAACAGAAGGAAGAAAGCAGAGTTACAGCCAGTGACCAAAAGAGATAGGGAAGAGACGAGTTAGAATGAGAAGACAAAAGAAGCAGAATCCATTATATATTGCAAAGATATTCATTAAAGTCTGTGAATCCAAATACTTAAAATAAAAAACACTTCTAAACAATACCTGTCCTTGGTATAAACCAGCATCCTGAATGGTGCTGTCTGGCTTATTCAGTGGTTCAAATGTATTACTCATATATTTGTTCCACAATCTGGTCTCCTTTTCATCTGGAATATTGAAGATTTTTCTTATTTCCTTTTCAATTGTATCTAGATTTAAAGAGAAAAGATATGTAAATATAAAAATTTTATGATATACCATAAATACCTAAGTGCTCATAAGCATATGTAATCCTAAATTTAAAATATTGATAGAGTATCAAGAATAGATAAATACGTTAAAAAAAAAAGTTTTTAAGACCAGATGTGCTTTTTAAGGGGGGGAAAAAGGTAATTTATAACTCTAATGGATGATTACTTGGGAGAATTTAAGACCTTAAAGATGAAAGAGTTCAATCACAAACAAAAAAGTATAATTTATGTCATATAGCATGAACTTTTACTTCATGCATTAGAAAACCAACTATTTTCTGAAGATATGTAAGAGTTATGTCAGAGAAGAATCAGAGATGCTACATGGAAAATACTTTTAATTACAACATAACCAGTTTAAGAATAAATTTATACTAAACTGAATATAACAGTTCAGTTTGAATAAACCAAAACCCAAAACCCACTGCCATCAAGCCAATTCTGACTCATAGCCACCCTACAGGACAAAGCAGAACTGCCCCAGAGGGTTTGCAAGGCTTAGTGGGTTCTAGTCACTGACCTCAGTTCAAGCACTTTAACCACTACCTCACCAGGATTCCCTTCAGTTTGAATATCTAATGAAAATTAAACTGAACTTACGCAGACAATGAAAAGGAAAGTGCTTTGTTGGAAATGATGTCTGTATTGGTCAGAATTTCTTGTTTTCAATGCAAAACCATGTATTTTTCTTATCTCTAAATCAATGAACTGATTGAATGGAAGAAATCAATTTTTTAAACAGCAGTTTAACTTGCTGTAAGACAGAGTATTACCTATATATTTGAGTAATCATGTAATTAAGTTTTAATAGTACAAAGTTTCATACTTTTATTATAAAACTTTTAAACTTTTATAAAAATTTTATAATATTAGAGAGATATTAAATAATAGTATTAAATCTATCTAATTCTGGTCAATAACTTGCCTAACTTAGACTAAAAACTCTGTAAGGTATTTTGTGACATATGAACAAATATAAAATATTCTTAAATTTTAAAATACTTGATCAGTTTTGAAAGAAGTATTATTGGTAATATAATAAACCTAATAATAAAAGTAGTCTGAAGAAGTATAAAAATCTATACCTCATTTTATCAACATGGTTAGGTTCCAAAGACCAAGCTATTACACGAAAATCAGTTTTATGCAAAAATGGAGGAAGACATCAGGTAAAAAATAGAGGACGACTACACCATTACATCACTGCCAAACTACTGAGAATCATGGCCCATCTAAGCTGACACACATTAACTATCACAGTCAGCATCATTCTCACCTAGCACCTAAGCATTTATTACTGCCAATTGCATGTTGTTAATGAGCAAAATAGTTGGATGTTATTGTTGTTATTTGCCCTCGAGTTGGACCCAATTCACAGTGACCCCTCCTTGGGTTTCCAAGGCAGTACTGCTACAGAAGTAGATTGCCCAACCTTCCTTCCGAGGAGTGGCTGGTGGGTTTGAACCACCAGCCTTCTGGTTAGCAGTCAAGTGCCTTAGGCACTATGCTACCAAAGCTCCTATATAGTTGGACAGCAGATTTTTTTACTATTGTCATCAATGTGAACTGTCAAATAATGAAAAAGTTGGTAATTGAGGAGTAAGTGTACACCTATCCAACATAATTAAATTTAGTCCAACAATACTGTTTATATTCTATTTTACAGTCAATGATCTAAAATCAAATACTCTTGTAATCAATGAAATTTTGATTAGGCCATTAAATAAGTAGTAAATACATCTCAAAGTTCATCTCAAACTTAAAGCAAATTACCTAGAGTACTCAAATAATTACATAAAATAAACATACTGTATTACTTACTATTTTGGTGGGGCTATATATACATAATCATAAGAATATAGTGATAAATTCTACAAAGTGGACACATCTGTGTAAAAGAACCCAGATCAAGAAACAACAGCTCAGAAGCTGAGGAAGGGGAAGTTGTTTTAGTTGTCCTATAAAATGAATACTTGTTTTTTTCTGATTACAGAAATAATTCTTGCCCACTGTGAAAAATTCAGAAAAGATTGACAAATATAAACCCAATGTCTACCTAAAGGTAGTCACCGTTCATTTTTATTTATTTATTTATTTTATTTTTTATTTTTAATTATCACTGTTTATTTCTCCTAGATACTTTTTCTATTAGGACACACACACTTACATATATTATCTACTATACATAAACATATACAGGATTTCTTCTTTACTGAGTTTTGCAATCTACTTAAACATGGTGGAAGAATAGTATAGGCAGAAGAAAAAATACTACAAGTCCCTGAGATGGAAATATGTTTGACATGTTTTAGAACAGCATAGCACACCAGTGTGGCTAAAGTGGAATGAGAGAGGGAGAAGTGAGATCATGAGGTACTCATGTGAAATCACGTAAAATTTTATGAGCCATGAAAGTATTTCTTATTTTATTCTGAGTTTGTGAGCAGAGGAGCAGTATATAGATTCTAACTTGTACTTAAAATATTTGGTTTTATTGATTTATGGAGAACAGACTAGAGGCAGTTAAGGGTGGAAGACCTGGCATTAACCCAAACCAAGGTGATGGCAAAAGAACTGATGTTTTGTGGACAGATAGAACAATTCTAAAGGAAATGCAAAGAAGATATGCTGCTGGATTATATGCAGGGTGAGAAATAAAAGAAATCAGAATGATCTCAATGTTTCTGGCCTGAGCAGTGGATAGCATGCAACTGCCAATTACTAAGATGGGGAAGAATGTCAGAGGTTTTGGGGGGGGGGGAAGGAGAGATCAAGACTTTAGTTTTATACATGGTACACCTTGAAATAGTATTAGAAATACAAGTGAAGATATGGAATGGTTAAAACTCATGTTAGAGGATAATTGTGGGTAGAAGATATAAATGTAAAAGACACAGAAAGTATTTAAAGGCAGAGGATTAGATGAAAATACCAATGGAAAGAGAGGAGATCCAAGGACTATAAACACAGAGATAGTCTGATTTTTTTTTAATTACTGTTGTAAAAATATATGTAACACATCTGCTAATTCAACATTTTTCAGGTGTACAATTTAGTGATATCAATTACATTAATCATATCTGTAATATCACCAATGATCATTTCCAATATTTCATCACCATAAACAGAAATTCACTTTTGATATTTTGAGATTAGGAATATGAGGGGGATTTTGCAAAGAACTCTGGGAGGAAACAGTCAGTGAGAAACTGTGCCCTGGAAGCCACATGAGGAAAGTCTTTCTACAAGGTTATATGGCTTACTATGTTAAATTTTGCTGGCAAGTTAAAAATATAGAAGACTTCACCATTACCACTGGATTTGGCACCACAGAGGTAGACCATGATAGAAACAGTACAGAGGGAGTAGAAGGCTTGAATGTCTTATGTAGTGGGGTTGAGAGAATGGGGACAGAAAAGAGGTGGCCAGAAAGCAGGATACTTGAAGTTGAAATCTGACAAGTGCAATTACAGATGGGAATAGGTAGCTGAAGTTGGGTGCAGGTCAAAATCACTGGAATTGAGAGCATCAAAGAACTGAGAGCATGTGTATATTTTTCCATACATTAACCCCCCCCATATTAGGCAGGTAATGTAAAGAAACAAAGGTAGAAAAATATTAACATAAACAACAGAAACAGAAATATTGTGATACATATTTCTAGCAGGAACATATAATGAATTCTGTTAATAAATTTTATAAACTTATTTATTAATTATACATACTGTAAATAAAACATTCTTTAAGAAGTTTTATAAAAAAATTTTTTCAGTGGCATTCTTAAAGGAAAATAATTTTATCTGTCTCACTGGAAAATGTGTAATGCTGAAATACATCAACTTATGGAAAAAAAATATTCAAAGGCAGAGTACATTGGCTCTGATGTAATATATTATTTAGATTATTTAATTACCTAAATTTATAGTAGCCTGTGGCTACTATCATTTTGATGATTACTAATCAGCAATAGGTGGTACCAGCTGAAATGGAATACTTTACTAATTTGCAAACAACAGAAAACAGGTACTTATACTCTGGTAGCATAGTGCCTAAGGCACTTGACTGCTAACCAGAAGATCGGTGGTTCAAACCCACCAGCCACTCCTCGGAAGGAAGGTTGGGCAATCTACTTCCATAGTGATACTGCCTGGGAAACCCAAGGAGGGGTCGCTATGAGTCGGAGCCAACTCAACAGCACATAACAATAACAACGTTTCCTAATGCTGTTTACATAATTTATGTATTTTATGTACATGTTGTTGTTGTTGTTGTTATGTGCCATCGAGTCAAACCCGACTCATAGCGACCCCTCCTTGGGTTTCCGAGGCAGTATCACTACGGAAGTAGGATTGCCCAACCTTCCTTCCGAGGAGTGGCTGGTGGGTTTGAACAGCCAGCCGTCTGGTTAGCAGGCAAGTGTCTTAGCCACTATGCTACCAGAGCTCCCATTTTATGTACATAGCTACTGTAATTGTTTTTAATCAAGATATTTTAAGACCATAAAGGGAAAAAATATATATCCATCTTCTCCTTTACTATTTGAACTTCTTTGTTTCAAAATTCACCTCCTTAAAAACACAAAATCAGCCTAAATCAGAGCTCTGCACACTCACAAGGATGGCTATTATCAGAAAAATGAAGATAAGAAGTGTTGGTAAGGATGTAGAGAAACTGGAATCCTTATTCATTGCTCGTGGAAATGTAAAATGGTGCAGTCAATGTGGAGGCTCTGCAAAAAGTTAAATATAGAATTATCACATGACCCAGCAATTGTACTGCTAAGTAGGTATCCCAAAGAATGGTAAGCAGCGTCTCAAATGAGGTATGTGCATACTAATGTTCACTGCAATATTATTCAAAACAGACAAAAGGTAGAAACAACCCAAGTGACCATCAAAAGATGAGTGGATAAACAAAAATGTGGTATATACATACAACAGGATATTATTCAGCCACAA